GTATGTGTGTGTGTGTGTGTGTGTGTGTGTGTGTGTGAGCGTGAGTGTGATTGTGTGAGTGTGATTGTGTGTAAGTGTGAGTGTGTGTAAGTGAGTGTGATTGTGTGTGTGAGTTGTGCGTGAGTGTGATTGAGTGTGTGTGTGATTGAGTGTGTGTGAGTTGTGTGTGAGTGTGTGTGAGTGAGAGTGTGTGTGTGTGTGTGAGCGTGAGTGAGTGTGCGTGAGTGAGAGTGTGTGTGTGTGTGTGTGAGCGTGCTTGTGAGTGTGTGTGAGTGTGATTGTGTGTGATTGTGTGAGCGAGAGCGTGAGCTGAAGCCCCGGGGCACGAGCAAGGAGGGGCCCGTGATTGGCTGTGGAGTAGATTGACTGGAGCGCCGATCGCCAAAGCCACCACGCCCCCCACTTATTAGCGCTGTTATTGAGAGTGTGAGAGAGAGTGAGTGTGTGTGTGTGTGTGTGTGCGTGTGTGTGTGCGTGAGTGTGAGCGTGAATGAGCATGACTGAGTGTGCGTGTGAGTGTGAGAGTGAGAGAGAGTGTGATTGTGTGTGTGTGATTGTGCGAGAGTGTGAGAGTGAGTGTGAGAGTGAGTGTCAGCGTGTGTGTGTTTCTCTCTCTGCTGTATCGAGTGTTGCGTGTGTTTCACTGTTGATCGCTCATCTGTCTTCAACAGGTGTGCTAGAAACGGCTACACGTTGCGCTGGTATCACCTGTCGTGCGGCGAGCACTTCTGTAACGAGTGCTTCGATCATTACTACAGGAGGTGAGTGAGTGCTAAAGAGGCTAACGCCTGCTGCACTTCACGCTAATCGTGTCTGTGCTCCTGCAGTCACAAAGACGGATACGAGACCTCCTCGTGGAAGCGGGTTTGGACCAGCAATGGGAAGAGCAAGCCCAGCCTCAAAGCCTTCATGGCCGACCAGCAGCTGCCCTACTGGGTGAGACGCCTACATAGACGACACCTTAGCCTTCACAGTGAACATCAGAACAATCCAAGCTGAGCTTTGTTCATGCAAAGCAATGCAGTATGATTAAACAAAATGGTCTGATGCTTATTAAAGTATTGAGTAATTAGCTTTGTTAATGTGGTAATACTTTACAGTAAGGTTTCATTTGTTAACTATACTAGTAAGTGTGAATACTTCAACAGCATTTTTTATCTTAGTTCATGTTAATGTCAACATATACTAATACATTTTTAAAATCAGAAGTTGTGTCTGTTAATATTAGTATTTTGCACAAAATTGAGTTGTCAGAAACACTGGTGAACCTAGGATATTTTTTTGAATTTGTGACAATCTCAACGCGCCTGCAAAGTATTTTTTAGTACATTTGTGACATCTGCAAGCCAATCTGAGCCACAATTTAACAGTTAACGGCAGCTGTGAAGACCCAAAATGATGATAATAAAAAAGCAAGTATTTTTTTGTGTCAGGTTCTTAAATGCCCTCTGAGGCACATTTGTGCATTTTGCAGACACTTTTATCTGAAGACATGTACACAGCATTGAAGATGTATGTAGTAGCAATACATTTTCTTCTTGTTCTCTCGGGCAAAGAATTGACTCGGGTTTTCGTTCAAATTTCAATCGTTTACTGGATGTTCTTGTTCAATAAACAGAAACAAAATAAACACCGGTCAAAAAACTGTGTAGCTCTGTCTTTCTTTCTTTCTTTCTTTCTTTCTTTCTTTCTACCCAAAGGGGCACCAAAAAAGGCGCTTAAAGACAGTCCAATAATAAAACGGAGCAAACCATTACAGAATGAACAAGGGGGGTGTTTAACAAATATACATATAAATCCAAACACATTAAAATTATACCTACTCATGCACTTCTAACTTTAATGTTAAATTTAATTATTCAAATTATGGCTCTTACAATGTAAATGATCAGTTCAAACATGGTAATTTCACTGTAAATCAAACCCATGACCTTGGCGTCGCAAGCAACATGCTTATCAAAAGCACACAAAAATAAAATTAAATAAAAAAATTATAAGTTAAAAAATGTACATAAAAATAAAATAAAAAAATAGTTGCAATATTTTTTATAATATTCACCTTTTTTGAAAAACTGTTTTAAAAAATAGACGTTAAATACAGTTGTAGAAATCTTGTGTTCATGTGTATTTATTTTTGTAATGTGTGAGAGGTATTACAAGAGTTTTTTTCTTTTGAGTTTTCATAGTGTGATTTTTGGAGAATTATACTAAATGCAACCTGCAACATAAAAAACTGCCACTCTCGTCGTGGTAAAACATCAGCCTTCACTTCACCTCCTGATACTTCTCAGCTGGTTTCAGCATTAAAGCACCAGATTATGTCCTGAAATCTAACAGAAATGTGTTAGTGACAGACGGTGCACAAAACAACATCTACCTAATGACTAACTAATGCGCGACTAGACTAAATGACTTGATTCAAATGAATTAGTATTGCAGAAATAGTTTGATTGGATCAGTGGGCGGGGCTAAACAGGCAGTACTGTAGACTCGGTGGGCGGGGCTAAACAGGCTGTGATGTAGAATCGGTGGGCGGGGCTAAACAGGCTGTGATGTAGAATCGGTGGGTGGGGTTAAACAGGCTGTGATGTAGAATCGGTGGGTGGGGCTGATTGGTATCCGGGGCTAAACAGGCAGTGCTGTTGAATCGGTGGGCGTGGCTAAACAGGCAGTGCTGTAGAATCGGTGGATGGGGCTAAACAGGCAGTGCTGTAGAATCGGTGGACGGGGCTAAACAGGCAGTACTGTAGAATCGGTGGATGGGGCTAAACAGGCAGTGCTGTAGAATCGGTGGATGGGGCTAAACAGGCAGTGCTGTAGAATCGGTGGGTGGGGCTAAACAGGCAGTGCTGTAGAATCGGTGGGTGGGGCTAAACAGGCAGTACTGTAGAATCGGTAAAATAAAAAATATTTGTATATATCGGCTTTATATCAGCCATCGGCCACCCTGCTCTCTAAGATATCGGCATTGGCATCTGCTGTCAAAAAAACAATATCGGTCGACCACTAATACAATGTATTGTTGGCTATTGCTAAAAATATACCTGAGCTACTTATGACTGCTTTTGTGCTCCAGGCTCACATTTCATTCACACGGATTAATGCAACATTTTACTCCTAAAAACATGGTGAAATGTGTTTGTTTTCGGACTCGCGCCCTACTTCCAGCCCTTCTATCAGCCGAACGAGTGTGGGAAAGCCCTGTGTGTCAGACCTGACATGATGGAGCTGGCTGAGCTGTACGAGTTCCCTGAGTTCTCCAGAGATCCCAGCATGTACCTGGTGCTGGCGGCCTGGAGCCGAGACTGCAAGGTGCCCAATGCATGCTCATCCGTTCACATGCTGCAGCGGGATGCTCGGGAGGTTTTGTCTGGAGTGTGTGTGTTGACTTTCCCCTCATTATCATGTTATTAGCAGTGCAGGAGATCTGAGCAGGTCTGGGCTTGTGTGAGTCTGTAAGGGCAGATGAAGCCCAGAGGACGGCTGGACTGTGCTGATGTGGTGTTTGCTCTCTCTCTCTCTCTCTGACACTGCAGAAGTGCGCTCCTCATGTGATCGTGTGCGTCCGCTGAGCTCTCAACATACCATTAGGTCGTAAGGTTTATCTGGTCTGGCTGAGGGGTCCTGGTTGCCATGGTAACCAGGGGCCTGGAGGTCATTCACAGACATCTTGGCACCCAGTCTGGTTGTTGGATTATCTGTTAACTATAATGAGTAATTGCGTGGCTGATTGGTCCAAACGCTACAACAAAATCACATTTTACTGTCTGGTTATATAAGCTAGTTGGACAGTAAAAGGAATGCTTTTGCCCAATGTGTAATAGCATAGCAAGCAACATAGCACAACATGATACAGTGATATTTTAGCCTATTTTAGCAAGATGAGTGATAGCTGCATAGTGTGAAACAGAAGCCTCCAACACTTCTAGTTGTATTGTTGTATCTGTTAACCCTGAAACAGTGTTGCATTGTCACTGACTAAACGTGTGTTGAATCTGTTGATGTTTATGTCTCGAGCGAGAATCGTCACACGTGATTGGTGGCAGGCACATACACATCAAAGCAACATTGGCCTTCATCCTTCCCTCGCATTTGTAACAAATCTTTCCCTCGCTCTGCCTCTCTCTATGAATTTTGCTCAAATTATATAAATTGAGAGCTTAAAAATTCTGCATTGCTCAAAATAGGTCTGTATTAGGCAGTGAATTTACATGTTATTTCTTTTTCTTTTTTGATAACATAAAAATGCAAATTGTACGTTTATAGCACATGATGCTTAGAGTACAGTTACGTTTAGACTTTGCAAACCTGAACTTAATTTTTTTTCCCCAGACTCTGAATAATTTTTGGTCCCAAATTTGTATCAGTTTTTAACTGTATGAAGAATTTTTGAGTATAATATGACACAGTTTAATTTATTTTGCTATCCTGACTTACATAAATGAACTATAGTGTCCTGCACCCACTAGTAAAAAAAAAATATAAAAAATAATATCTGGTCTCTAATTTTTGGTTTGACTGTATATCCTTCGGTTATTTTCACACTTAATTATGCCCATTACAGCGTACAAAACAATCGTAGCAAAATGGCAGCAGCTGCGTTTGTATGAAACGAGAGCGAGTCCACGATACCAGGATGACATAATTAAATAATTGTACACAATTTTGAATCGAGTTTTAATATTTTATTAGCTAAACAAACACAAAGCTTCCACAAAGAAAAAACAGTTCCTAGCAAGAGTACAGCCGACTTCAGTGACCCGGATGAGCCGGAGTTATCAGCTTTTACTGGTTGTTATCGAGGGATAACACACCTCAGAATGTCACGACTGGCCAATCAGAATCAAGTATTCCACAGAGCCGTGTAATATATATATATATATATATATATACACACACACACAGATTAAATATAATTGTAATGTAGAAATGTACTTTTTGTAAACATGCTTTGAAATGATATGCATCATGAAAAGCGCTATACAAATAAACATGAACTGAATTGAATTGATGTTTTGATTAACTTTTAGTCTTAAAAAAAATCCCACACCTGATTCACTTCCGAATAGATCTCTGTTCAGGTTATTAAGTGCAAAATGTGTGTATATACATGTGTGATTGTCAAAATGAAATATTCCTCCAGCCAAAAACAGGGACTATTAGCTTTTACTGTATCCTCAAATGATCTCTTAATTAAAAATACTACTATCTGAATCCTTACTTCCCTAACGATCCAGTTCAGATACTTTATTAGTCCAATGGAAACATATTGATGCTAGAATAGATCATACTAATTACAACAAGACAGTTATTTTAAAGACTGGATTATTAGACTTCTGAATATTACAGAATAATAGATGACTCTTACAAGTCACTTGAGTTTGGTTTAATTGTCCAGTTTACATCACGCAGTAGTTCTGAGAGCAGCTTGACTCCTGGTTCTCCGTTGTTGTAGTTCAGACTCATCGAATTCAGGCGTGAGGTCTGTGAACGGCATACTGAAGCCAGATAGTGACAGCTTTTATCTGTCAACTTACAGTCCACTAATCTACAAACAGACACGGAGACAAAGAAGACATCTGTGACATTACAACTCATCACAAAGCTTACTAAATCTGCATGAGGTACAATTAGCTGCTGACTGCAATCAAATCAAAGTTATAGATTATCAGTAAAACAAATAATTTGCTTCCCCAGTCTTTATTTAAATGATTAACTTGACTGTTTTTCAATTCCTGTTTATGTTTTGGTCTCGTTTTGGTATCTGTCTTTTTATTCAGATAAAATCCAGAAATGGGTGAGGCTTAAACCAACCATCATCTTGAATAAGATGCAAGATTAAGAAAGATTGAGAGATGCACAGAGACGGATACACAGATTTTTGATTTGCGCTCATTATTACGTAGTGGTTTATGTATAACATTTCGATATCTATGGTTCGTCTTTTATCCAGCAGACATGAGGAGTGACTGTGTCTGCCGAATATTTTTTCTTATTATTCCAAATAATTTTAAAGCCATTATTCCGTGCCTTTCCGAATAAGATATTTGGCTTCTGGCACATCCTTACTACAGAGTTTCCTCATCTTCAGTTCTGAGCTTCCTACACTGCTCAGAAAAAGTGACAGTGAGACTTATTTGATTTTTAACATTAGATTAGATTTTAACTATTGGCCCAAACAAGTGATTCACGATTAAAAAATCCATGTTTCAAGATCAATTCATATGCATCAGCAGGATTTGTAACCAATGCATTGAGAAAAAGAGTGAATCATTACGCCCCTATACCATGTGTATCCCATCAACACACAAAAACACATCTGAAGCTCAAACCTCAGGTTCTTCAGCTGAGAGTTAGGGCTCTTCAGTCCGTCACAGAGCAGCTTCACTCCTGAGTCCAGCACGTCATTGTTACTCAAGTCCAGCTCTATCAGACGGGAGTTTGATGATCGTAGAGCTGATGCCACAATTTTACAGCACTGACCCGTGAGTTTACAATATGCCAAACTGAAGAAAAAAAAAAAAAGGATAATTGCAAATCCATTTATTATAAACTGATAAAAGTGGAATCTCTCTCATATCATAAAATAAAAGTTTTGCTGAAAGAAGAATATGTTTTTGACCAGTTGATCTGTACAGCCATA